CCCATGGCCAGTGATGTCCGCTGTGCATCTACCAAGAGAAGATCGACTCCCGTACCATCAGCTGTGCTGCGTCCGTCTTGACGGTGAGTGCGCACGTGTCGGTTAAAGGATAGTATAGAGATGGGAGTGGGTGTGTAGCAGATGGCGGCCCTGTCTGCAATGAAGCAAATGTATAATATGAGGAAATCGCGCACTGACTGGCCGCCGCTAGGCCAGTCCGATCGCGAGGAATGCCTCGTGTCGTGGGCGATCAGGGAGGGTTTCCTGATTCACAGTAGGTGAATCGTGCTCGTCAGGCTGGCCAACTTTGACTGCGTCTGCGTAGGATCGGCCAAAGTTTTCACCAGCCGGGAACGTAGAATGGGAAAACCTCCTTGTCCGTATCCTGCTGGTCGCCGTGGTGCATGATGCCGGGATGTCCGCCTGTGGGCTGTGTCGTTGCCGGCTTGCGTTCGCGGGCGCGGGATACGTCCCCATCGGTGTTGTGGTTCAAATTGTGGATTGTAGCAGCCCTGCTGGTGTCGCCGATAGCATGCTGCTGCGTCTGGTGTGATGCTTTCTGGACTGGTGCTGCTAACTACGATTCACCCCGTCGAGGTCGCGGTCTTGTTGGTTTGCATCAAGCTGGCGTCGTTGGTCTGATCAACTGCACTCGGTCCTGAAGTCGACGACTGCTGCTCCAAGTGTCCAAGTTGGGGTGGTGCGGTCCCGATGTCAGCTACTCCTCCTCCTTTTCCTCGTCCTCGTCCTCCTCCTCGTCCTCACCCTCCTCCTCCTCCTCCTCCTCCTCCTCCTCCTCCAACTCGTCCTCCTCCTCCTCCTCCTCCCCCTCCTCCCTCCTCCTCCTCCTCCTCCTCCCCTCCTCCTCCTCCTCCTCCTCCTCCTCCTCCTCCTCCTCCTCCTCCTCCTCCTCCTCCTCCTCCTCCTCCTCCTCCTCCTCCTCCTCCTCCTCCTCCTACGAGGGACCCCTTTGGGGGCAGGCCGCGTGCGCACCGCGGCGGCAGCTCAAGGCGGCCTCGCAGCGCCGGACCGAAGGCCGTCCGCCGCGGCGGGGCCCGCGCCCGCGGGGCGCGGGCGCCCCGCGCGGTCGAGGGCCCTGCCAGCCAGGCGCTCGCGCTCGCCCTCCTCGGAAAGGGGCGCGCAGAAGGGCGATGCGTTCGTCCAGCGAGGGGGTCCACCTCCGTGTTCCTCCTCCTCCACCTCCTCCACTTCCTCTTCCTCCACCTCATCCACCTCCTCGTCCTCCTCCTCCTCCTCCTCCTCCTCCTCCTCCTCCTCCTCCTCTCCCCCTCCTCCTCCTTCCTCCTCCACCTCCTCCTCCTTCGCCTCCTTCTCCTCCTCCTCCTCGTCGTCCTCCTCCACCTCCTCCCCTCCTCGTCCTCGTCCTCGTCATCGTCCTCCTCCTCCCCCTCCTTCTCCAACTCTCCTCCTCCTCCCCCTCCTACTCCCCTCCTCCTCCTCCTCCTCCTCCTCATCTCTCCCCCTTCCTCCTCCCCCACTTCCTCCTCCTCTTCTGCCTGCTCCTCCTCCTCCTCCTCCTCCCTCTCCTCCTCCTCCTCCTACCCTCCTCCTCCTCCTCCTTCTCCTTCTCCGCATCCTCCTCCTCCCCCCTCCTCCATGCCCCTCTTCCTCCTCCTCCTCCTCTTCCGCTTCCTCCCATTCAACCCCCTCCTCTCCCCCCCTCCTCCTTGGTAGCCATTATGGCTCAAGTCCGTAGTGTCTCGCTCAAGGTCCAGCCTTTCTGGCATTCACGAGGGACGGCCCCCGATAGCTCAATGCCCCTTGGCTGCCTGCCCTTGCTGGGATACCCTCCGATTTCTCTCAAACTACACTGCGTATCCTTGTATTACTTGGCTCCAGCAAAAGTTTCCTTGGAAACTCGCAAGAGGAATAACATGTATGTAAACCCGTCGGCAAGATGAAAAGTCGCGCGCGCGTGCTCAGCGTTCGCACCCACGCGATCCCAAGACGTCCCATGGCCACAACATGCTTCCAGGAATGCCTCAGGCCACGAACGATAACGTCCAGAGGACCCAGGATGATGCCACCCCAACGCGATCGCGCCATGGATTCTGGACCGTCTCAGGCCGACTCGCAGATGACGAAACACATGACACGGCAATAATACTGCAACTTATGAGCCCCATCTTACTTCGAGCCGATCCCAGCATGGTGGGATCCGTGAACGGCCCGGGATGTTGGTCTACCCCATTTTTAATGGGTGGGATTTTGATCGTCCTGAACTAAACTCATAATATAAGAGGAATAAGCCAGGCGGGATCCCGCCCGGCCCACGGAGGAAGACAACATTGCTAGGCTTCTACGGGGGTAGGGGGTTCGGAAGGGGCGTCGTTTACTTCCGCTGACATTGGCAAGCCTTCCAGCGGCCTTCCCCCGTCTTCCGCCTCGTTTTTCTTCCGTCGATTTCCGCCGGCCAGCGTCGTGATGAAAATTCCAGGAACTTTCATTGGGCCGATGTATACCCTCGTTTGTTGAAAAGCGCGAGATGCGCTCTCGGATGACGAGAGGTGCACCATGGGCTTGGAATTCGTATTCTCACCATCGGTCTGCGTCTGACGGGGACTGGAGCATGTCAGGATGGAAACTAGTATACACCTCACCACTCCGACGTCGTCCCTGACCCTCAAAAGTTCTGGGACTGAAAAACAGCCCGCCACTGGTAATGTAGATGTTCCAGTTTCCGACTATAAGCCAGAAGGACATCCTTCAGGAACGTGAGACCCTCCATCGGTCAAAACAAGCGGAGCACCCAAGGGTACCATCTCCAGGATGCACAAGCTCGTCCGACGAGCACGAAGAAGACGAAGAACACGAGGGCACCCTCCCCGAACGCCCCAAACCGACCCTCGATCGTGTACCTCGGCCCGACTGTAATCTTAGGTCGGACATGTCCCCCTATAGGCGGATTTTGGAGGAAAAACCTAAAATACCCAGAAACTACTCCCAAATAGACAAAACATGATCAAAAAATCGTCCCCTGACTATTTTTTCACTATTTTTGAATATTCCTCCTGTAGAGGGACACGCCCGACTTACCTGTAATCGCATCGAGTCGGATCGCAGGCGGCCCTGCTGGGGCCACCGCCAAGGGGGGTCGCCACCTCTTCCACAAGACCGGCGCCTCGGAACCCCACACAGAGGTCTCCAAGACCCCCGAGGACGCCCAAGAGCGCCCAGAGCGCGCCAGGGAGTGGCCTGGCGATGCAGCGCAGCGGGAACTTGCAACCTCGTGGAGAATCACGTCCAGAGCCCCGGACCCCATCTTTCTGCACAACTTTCCGGCCCAGATCGACATGCGAGGGGCCAGAGGCCCGCAACGGGGCCAAAAGGCCCTGCTCGAACAAATTGAGACGCCAGAATCTCAGGTGGGGTGTACCGCCGATCCGCGAAACCCGCGCGGACCTCCAGAACTTCTGGTGCCTCTCATGGAGGAGGAGGAGGAGGAGGAGGAGGAGGAGGAGGAGGAGGAGGAGGAGGAGGAGGAGAAGGAGGAGGAGGAGGAGGAGGCGGGGGAGGAGGCGGAGGAGGCGGAGGAGGAGGAGGAGGAGGAAGAGGAGGAGTCTCCTGTCCTTTCGGGGGAGCTGCTGACCCGGGTCAGTGCAAACCCGGGTCAGTCGGGCATATTGCTCGGTGCCTCAAAGCTGGGGTGCTGAGGGATGGGGTCCTAAGAACGAGCTGCCTCAAAAAACGTAAATCCACCCTTGGATTATGCTGCCACCATCGTACTTCAGGACCACATCCCAGAAGTAATTTCGAGCACCCGGAAAAGTGTCGAAGGAGTGTCGAAACAATGTCGGACGAGTCTCCCAGGGCCCGACACGTGAAAACCATCGAGATTCGGTACTTTTCTGGTGCTCGAAATTCTTCCGGGTGATCAAGGCTAAAGTCGGTTGGAACATCATAACCCTTGGATCCCTTTCTATCCCTCGGACCCCGTCCCTCAGGACCCCATCTCTGAACTGCAAGATCCTGCAGGATGGGCGCCACATGGGCGCCGGGAGGCGCCCATGTGTCGAGGAATGGGCCGCGCGGCTGGGCCGAAACCGGCTGCATGCAGCAGATGTCGTACCCCTCCGTTGCCCCACAGTCAACCTTAGATCAGGATGGACCATGAGGACGCACGATAAGGACGCAAGGGCCTTGGAAGGCCGTGTCGGCACTCTGCGAGCGGGGCGCGGCCAGCGAAAACGGCCGAGGACGGGCCGAAGGGGAAGGATGCAAGGGCGACCTTGGAAAATTGCTCCTCCTTACTATGCGGGTTGACTATATCCTACCCTTTCGTCCGGCCCGCGAAAGAGGGCTGGCCTCAGGTTGCGGGGCTTCTCAAAGTCCTCGCGCAATCTGAGAAGATGCCTGAGCTTTCTCCGAGGACAGAGACGGCTTCTCAGAGGGCCGAGTGGCTTCTGAGAAGTCTGGCCGCCTTCTGAGAAGGCCTGCCCCCTCACTTCCCCCATGGGCTCGCCGCCGACTGGAGGCCTCGCGCGGCAACTTGAGCGGCCCTGTTTACGTCGGATCCACGTCAGATCTACATCCTCCCGTCGGACTTGCGCCAGATTCACGTCGGACTTACGCCAGGGCATCGCCGGGCGAACGCGGGAGCGGACGTGTGGACTAGATGATACAGCTACAGTGCGGGCGCGGCCGCAAGAACACCTCGCGAGGAACCCAGCCCTGAAACCCGCAGGCGCGAGGTGCAAGTGGGGGGGAGCCGAGAGCACCCCGAACGCAGCAGTTCCTTCAACGGGCACGGGAAGACACCGCGCAGCGCGCGGAGCGATGACACCCAGGAGACCCTGACGAAAAGTAACCAGCTTCTTGATGCGCACCACCAGTGTCCTGCGCGCCGCGCGAGGCCTCCAGGACTTTCCTCACAGTGTGAGGCACCTCTTACTCCTCTGGTCTGCGACGCCCCGCCGGCTCCTCGCTCAGCGGCGCCGCGCTGACCCACTCCTCGAGGCTCCGCCGCAGCTCCTCCGCGCTCAGCTCCCCGCGCTCCGACAGCAGCTCCAGGGCCTCCACGCTCCTCTGGCGGCGCGCACAGGAGGAGGAGGTTTTTCTTGTGGTCCCCCTGTGGACGCCGAACGTGCCAGCTGCAGAGGAGGAGGAGGAGGAGGAGGAGGAGGAGGAGGAGGAGGAGGAGGAGGAGGAGGAGGAGGAGGAGGGGGGGGCCCTTCTATGAAGACGGCGCGCCTCTTAGAAGGCAGCGGCCTTCCGAGGAGGGCCTGGAGGCCTCTAAGCAGGCATCTTAGAAGCCGGGAGGGCTTCTGAAGAAGCCCCCTGCCTTCTTACAAGCTCCCCCGCCGCCTTCGAAGAAGGCCGACTTCCTCTCGCCGCCCCCCTGTTGAGCAATGACCGACCGTTGACGCATTCCAAGCCACGAAATGAGTTTGGAACAGAAGAACCTCCTGAAAACCAGAACAGGGTGCCTAGGCGTAGAACGCAAAGCCGACGTATTGAAACAAAACGGCCTCAGCCAGACATGCTGAGAGCAGCTCGTGACAGCCACAAAAGCTTCTTAGAACAGTCTTCGGTGGGCCCGTAGGCGGGCCAAGACGCTTCGCCACTGCTTGATCTTGTGCACGCCGCCGATCCTCACGGAGGCCCTGAGCTCGATCTCGTAGACCGGCCACCTGCTGGCGGCGTGGCCGCCGCTGCCCGGGCCCAGGTCGGAGCTCACCTCGGGCACGGGAAGGGCACGGGCCCCGTCGGAAGCGGGTCCCGAAGTCTCTCCCCGTGGCCAGGCCTCTGGCTGGCGGCGCCCACGAGGGGGTACGCAGACAAGCGCGCTCCACTACTTGCAGCGCACCTACTCACTCGCAAATGGCGTGGATCCGCCGCGGGGGATTCACGATATACCACATCGAGGCAATCACGTGCTTTTCGGACGTTTGCGAGTAGGCACCCTGCGAGTAGTGGAACGCGCTCGGTGAGTATGGGGGGACAAGGGAAGTCTCCTGATAAGCAGATGGCCTCTTCGAAGCTGCCGGCCAGACGTCTGCAGATAGCGTCGGGGTGTTGACCTGAGGAACCCCTTCACAAGGAACGAGGCCACTTTCTCCCATGAGCTAAACTCCAATCTCCCATCGAGAACCTACAGTCGGCCCGGATTAGTAGGTCGACCTTGCCAGCTCAAGGGTGCCCTTGTGCCCTTGTGTCCTGTGCCTCGCGACACGCGCCTTCTTACACTCCTATGGCGATGTGGCCCTCGGAAGGGTCTTGCGTCCTCTCGCGTGTCCTGTCCAATCAAGGCCGACTGCAAGGACAACCTGAGGCAAGCTGGGAAGCAGCGAAGGCACACGGAGCCCCTCCCCGAGCGATAAGGGCTCCCTCTTCAGCGCCCCGACTGCAAGGCCCGCGCCCTTTGAGCAAGGACCGACCGTCCCGGCATTCCTATAGTCCTACCACGACATGCTCTTAGAACCCAAAAAGGTTCTAAGAACACAAGCGATGTTCTTAGAACATAGACCCGATATGTTCAAACGAGACAGACTCCGCCAGAAATGCTCTAAGAACATGTCGTGGAAACCACAAAAGGTTCTTAGAACATTGTTTGGTGGGGCTCAACCTCCACCACGTCCTCGTCCCTCGCACTCAGCGCCCGCCCAGCCGCGGGCCCGCCCCGTACACGAGGCGCAGGGCGGCGACGCGGCCCCCCGCGGCGCTCCCGGCGCGCCGCGCGCTGGCCGTCGGCGGCAGCAGCTGGGCAGGCAGAGCAAGCCTGGCCTCCCCCAGGACGCTTCGCCACTTGGGCGCCCGAGTTATCCGGGGTAACTCGGGTCCGGGGTAACTCGGGTTTGGCTTCCCGAAAAAGGAACCCGAGTTACCCCTGACCCGAGTTACCCCTGATGATTCGGGGCTCTGGACGCCCGAATTATCCGGGGTAACTCGGGTCCGGGGTAAGTCGGGTTCGGATTCCCGAAAAACGAACCCGAGTTAGCCCTGACCCGAGTTACCCCTGATGATTCGGGGCTCTGAGCCACTGCTTGAGCCCTCTGAGCAGCAGGGGTGCCTCCGAGAAACCTTCCCCCTCCGCCTGCCCCCCCCCCAGGGCACGTGGCCGGCCCGAGCCCTCGACGGCAAGGCACCCAGGGATGTAGAGCCGGCTCCCCTCCTCCCTCCTCCTCCCCCTCCTCCCTCCTCCCTCCTCCCTCCTCCCTCCACCCTCCCTCCTCCCCCCTCCTCCTCCTCCTCCTCCCTCCTCCTCCTCCTCCTCCTCCTCTCCTCCTCCTCCTCCTCCTCCTCCTCCCTCCTCCTCCTCCTCCTCCTCCTCCGGGGGAGGCCCCCCCGGGGGTCCAGGGCCCCCTCGAGGAGGGCAGAACATCCACCCCGATGGTGTAGGGGGCCAGATGCGAACCCTAACCCTACCCCACTCGGACACCGTCGGGGGTAGGGGGTAGGGTTCACATGTGGCCCCCTTATAGTGACCACCACGACGCTCGAGGCCGTTCGGCAAACGCACCCGACGGAGGAATCAAGCAGGGCAGGGCTGTTCGGCAAACGCCCAGGGCCGTTCAGCAGACGCCAATTGTCGGGTCTGGGTGGTTCTTCCTCCCTTGACCCCTCCCCCAAGGGACACCACGTTTGCTTCGTGGCGGTGTCGCCTTTCGGGCGACCCGCACCACGCGGAAGAGGGCCCCCAGGGGGAAGATCGTGTCGTCGACGGAATTGCCCCTCACAGAAGAGCAAACGGCGACATAGGCACAAACTGCAGGATGTCCGTGCGGATCTCTTGGACCCGCGCGGAACTCCGAACGCTTGTGCTCCTTATGCTCAGCAAGCAACTCACGGAAGCTTTTGGTCGTCCCTATGTCGCCCAACAGCGCGCCCAATCGAACGCAAAACGGACATGATGCATCGCTACTGGTCGCTATTGGGCGCTACGTGGACGATATTCGACGCTATTTGGCGCTGTTTGGCGCTATGTGACGCTGTCGGGCGCCATTCGCCGACATACATCCAATCCCAGACGAACGAACACTTCCGTGATTTACTATACAAGCATGCCGTTTGTTTCTTCTCTGCCTCAAAGACATGCGCTTCGGGTTGCACGGCGCCTCCTCGTCTGGCAGGATGGTTAGCAGCACGTTGCAACGGGACTGCAGCAGGCGCCGCTCGGCGTCCACCCGGCTCGACGTGGAGCTCCAGAAGGAGCCGGCACCCAGCGACACCCAGACGCCTGGTGTGCGTGAGGCAGGCTGGCTACGGATAGGTCGGGCGTGTCCTCCGACAGGCGGATCTTGAAGACAAATGAAAAATAGCAAAAAAATGCGGAACAAATTCCAATGGTAGCAAAAATCGTCCCCAGACTATTTTTTTGACCATTTTTGAATGTCTCTCCTGTAGAGTGACCTGCCCGACTTCAGGCTACGGGCCCTGGACTGGGTCCCAGGGCCTTCCCCTGGGGCGAGCTCGTCATCCTGAGCGGCTCCTGCAAGGTTCCGAGTGCCCCGACGGGGCCTAGGGACGGCCCCGGGCCCCGATGACCGCGAAGAGCCGCAGGACCCGTGACCCGTTCTCTTCCTCAGGACTCAGGACCAGCCTGGCCTGGCCATCGCTCGGACGCCCGCCCATTCCCCACGCCCTTTTGCTCGGCATCGTGCGCTCGTTTTGGCACGAGGATCCAAGATGCTCCTCGATGGCCCCCGCCAACAACCACGTGCACACGTCCGAGGGATGTCAAACTCAGGTCCAATTTGGAGGTTGAGGCGGAGGAAGATGAGGAGGATGAGGAGGAGCAGGAGGAGGAGGAGGGAGAGGAGGAGGGGGAGGGGGAGGGGGAGGGGGAGGAGGAGGAGGAGGAGGAGGAGGAGGAGGAGGAGGCGGAGGAGGAGGAGGAGGAGGAGGAGAAGGGAGGAAGGAAGGAAGGAAGGAAGGAAGGAAGGAGGGAAGGAAGGAAGGAGGAGGAGGAGAAGGATGGTTCATGACGAGGGCCTGTCTTGAGGCAGCGCTCGTCGCCGCTCTGCCGCTGCTGCTGCTGCTGCTGCTGCGCGAGCCTGTCGACGACGCGCTGCAGGCTGAGCATCGGCACGAACAGGGCACGGTACGCTCAGAGGAACAAAGAACTGCACGAACATTTGAAGGGGCCTCAGGACACACAAATAAATACACACAAATCAAACTGTTCCCCATATTTTCTGATATGTTCTGGGTTTCTGTCTTCCCACTTCCCATAGTTTCCCATAGTTTCGGGGGAATCGGAGATTAATTGTGTCTGTGTTTTTTTCCTCTCCTGAATACATTTGGACACCCGAAATGGGTACGGAAATAATGGGTACCATGCCCAACAACACATGCTATCCCAAACCCACAGAGGTCGCTGTCGGGCAGACGGCCTTCAGTTTCAAATGGACACAGGCCGCGGCGGCGCGGACAGCGAGTCTTGTTCAAAATGCACAAGGACTGTTGTTGGGCATTGTACCCATCCTTTCCGTACCCATTTCGGTCGTCCCGAATACAAATTTGGAATCGTGCGGATTTCTTGGATCCGTGCCTGGCCCCCCTCCCGCCAGGGGGGGGGCCCAGCACAGATCCAGGAAGGCTTCGGCGGCAACTCGCGGGAGCTTCCCGTCCCATCTTGTCGGCTGTTGCGAATCGACGCTGGTCGACTCTAACTCGACGCCAATCGACGCCCAATCGGCGCTAATCGACTCCAACCGACGCTAGATCGGCGCTATCTCATCAACTCCCAGACGCTACTCGACGCCAAAGTCGGAATTGACAGGGCACTCCAGGCTCCCATGATTCGCTACTCGAAGAGCCCGCTCCCTCCTCGCGAGACACCCCCCGTGGCCAGGACGTACCGGACAAGGAAGCCGCGTGCTGGCAGCGATGGTGCTCAGCCGCCCCCCCTTCCAGCCTGCTGCTCCTCTGGGGAGGGGGCAATCGAGGTGCCGATCCCGTCACCAGCGGGTGCTCTGTCCGTGATTCGCTGCCGAAGAAACTCGCGCGGGCCGCTGAAGGTTCATGCTTGTGCAGCGCCTTGTCTTCCTCTCGAATGTGGGCAGCAAATGCTGGATGCCCGCCTCTGACCGGCCTCGACCTTATCTCCATCCCTAAGATTGAGAGGCCCAATCGCGATGACGATGGAAGGGGCCCAGAAGCACATATACACTTTTTTCCCGTCGGCGGCTAGGCAGAGGGACTGCTCTGGAGATGTAGCATACACACATACACACAAAACACACACACATACATCTAAGGATTCCCCGTGTTTTCCAATATGGTCTGGGTTTCTGTCCTTCCCCACACTTCTCATACGTTCCTATATTTTCCTGGGAGTCGGCGATCAATAGTGCCTGCGTGTTGGTTCCCCTCCCGAAAGATCTTAGGGATTCGCCCTCAGAAACAGAGGGACTCCGTAAGATCGGCATCGAGATCAGGTGAGGCCAATCATGGGGATGGGGATGTGTGCCAGGCTGGCGAAGCCTCCTCGAACCAGAGCAGGGCCGACTGGAGCAGCTGCGCGCAAGGCGCCAGCGCCGTGACCAGCGGGTCGACCTCGCGCTGGCCGCAACGCCGCCGCGCACCTGAGCGATGGAAACGTGTCCAGGATCGAGGGGCAGAGTTTAGGTCGGGCCTGTTCCCCCACAGGGAGATTTTGGACGAACAATAAAACCTAGCCCAAACACGTTCACAGAATGCTCAGAAATAGTCAGGAGATCGTCCCCAGACTATGTTCGAATATTCCTCCTGTTGAGGGGCATGCCCGACTTGAGCAGAGTTGGGGGGGGGAACCGGCTCAGGGGGGGGAGACGTCGAGCTCGACTCGGGCGGCACGTCGCCGACGGCTCGGCGATAGGGCCCCCGACAGCGAATCCACGCGGCCCAGGGCGGGGCGGGGCTCCTGGACCCCCGTCGGCGATCCGTGGGCGCGATCGCGGGTCGATGCGCCTCCTCCCCCCGCGCCTGTCCCGTCTGATGTTGCCCCTGATGGGTGCTGCCCGCCGTTTCCTGAGCCCTGGGGGCCCCTCACCAGAAGCGTCTCAAAAGGAAGCTCGGGCAGGTGGGGGCGGGGGATCGCGACGCACCGCCAATGCGTCGCCTTCCACAGGAAACCGTCCACAAGAAGCCAAGCCCTGAGACCCCAGGACGTCCATTGATTTTTGGTGCGGAACGTGACGCCTTCCATCGCAACACCATCGAAGCCCAGGAAACCCAGTGCCCCTGGAGGCAGGCGGGGTGTCTCTTGGCATGGGTCTCCACTGCAGGTGCACACGTCCGAACGATGCCAAGCCTTGTGATGGCCTGCGTTTGGCTTGTCTCCGTGCGGCCTCGGGCTCTCGGCCAAGGGCTCGTGATCTTGATGTACGTTTTTTTGTGTCCATGCGTCGGCTACTCCTCCTCCTCCTCATCCTATTCCTCCTCCTCCTCCTCCTCCTCCTCCTGCTCCTCCTCCCCCTCCTCCTCCTCCTCCTCCTCCTCCTCCTACTCCTCCTCGCGTAGAACAAGGATACGGTGCCCAACAGCAGGCGTCGTCCGAATCCGACAGCGGCCGCCGCTGGGCGGGCGCTGCTTTGTCTCAAGGGGAGATCGTCCGCGGCAACACCCACAACGAGTCCTGTTCAAGATGGGCAGGAGATGCTGTCGGTCTTCGTGCCCATCCCTTCCTCACTTGCAACGGACCAGATTCGCCTGGCAAGACACCGAACCATGCGCAGTTGTGAGCAACGCGGAGCTGTGAATATCGCCTTCGGTGGAGCTCCCGATGGGGGCAGGAAGCGCGTGCGGGATGTAACGAGATGAACGCGCTGTGGGCGCATGCGAACGCGTGTGAGTTGTGTGCCGAAGTGGGTGCAGCGGCGCCATGCGAGCGCAGCCACTGGGGCCTTCGGTGGAGCTCCCTATGGGGCCACGCAACGTGTGAGGGGTGTGCCGAAGTGGGCGCGGTGGCGCCATGCGAGCGCAGCCACTGGCGCCTTCAGCGGAGCTCCCTGTGGGGCCACGAAACGTGTGAGGAGTGTGCCGACATGGTGGATATGCGGAGAGCAAAGGCAGGGATGCAGGTGCAGGTACACAGGCCTCCAGTTCTACCTACACGCGGCCGCACCTGGGCCAACGTGTCCCAAGTCCTTGCACTTGACCGCCGCCCTGATCAGGCAGAAAGCGAAGGCGGGGGTGAAAGGGGCCACTGACCGAGGCGGGTCGGTGCCCCTCACTCTACCCTGCGGGTTTGGCTAGTCCTTCGCCTTCGCCGCTGTGGTGCTGGGTCCCTGGTCTTCGTGATCTTTGGCTGTCGCATTCGGGGGGGGGAGGTGGAGGAAGGAAGACGGCTAACCCAAGTCCCTCCGGGGGCAACTCTTCTTGGGCCATCGCTGGAGATAAGTTCGGAACGCTGTCTTTGGATCTGTGCCTCTTGTTCTGGGCGCTGGCGGATCTATTTCTGGTCTTATTTCTTCGATTGGGGGCGGGAGTGTACAACCCGCCTCGTCCAACAAAACCTATCAGGGGCGGTTGGGTCTCCGGACCTTTCCCCTGAGGGTGGACGGGGAAGCAGGACGGCGACGCCCGTGGTCAAGTCGCACCGGCAACTGGGGGTGCACATGTCGTTCGGCGGTGGTCTCGGCCATGGTCGGGCGGGGTGTGCGGTCCCTGGATGCCTGTGTCGCTCGGCGGGTTTCGGCCATGGTCGGGCGGGGTGGGCACCCTAAAACTACCCATCGACACCGGAAGGTGGTCATCAGAGTCTTACAGATGAGTAGTGTTTGTGAGGAGGTAAGGCAAGAAAAGCACGCATGACGACGAGCTCTGGCTCTTTCCTGGTCGGCAAGCATATTGTGCGGCTGCGCTGCCAGTGTTTGCGTTTCTACACGGCACTCTGCCAACGGCGGGTTCCCCCGACAATTCGGGGGCGGTTTCGTGGTGGGTTCGGCCCTCCGCATCTGCCAGGCCACCGGGTTCCCCCAAGTGGCCGCCGCCCCCAGGGCCCCTCGCAGCCTGGGCCGTGCTTGTTGGGATTGGGTTCGTGCTTTTGGGGCGTCTCGTCGTGCGTGGAAGACTTGGAGTAGGTGAGGCGCGGGCGTCTGTTTTCACCAGGTGTCACCGGGAGATTTTTTTGGGGGGGAGGGCACTCCCACCCTTTGTTAGTTGTTTATCTGTGACAGCTTAAACCAAACCACCCTGAATGCACGATGCCTCCGTGCTTGCATTCGGAGACGTGCTTCAAATTGCTGGGACGGTGAGCCAGGCAACTTGTGTCGGACTGAGGAGTGCATGCTGAGAAATGCATCACACAGCGTGGAGCTTAAAAGACATTGATCAGGGTCCATCCCACGAAAAAGGAGGAAGGGGAGAAGCCAGGGCGAACCCTCAGGCGACCCAGACGACCTCGGAGCCCAAGAACCCATCCACTGAGAGAACAACTGTTGGAGCCTAGGACATACCAGGTAGTGAACCATATCATCAAGGTCAGGGAGATGGGACGAGGAGGCAGGACATCCAATAATACAACCTCTGGGAGCGGCATGAAAACGTGCACTCGTACAAACACATCTGGACAGCATCCGAATATTGGCCGGCGGCAAATACATACTAGACCTCTTAGCCAAGGACTTAACCAGGCAGCAAACATAGGTAATGTGCTCAATAGAGACCCCAAGGATCCAGGCACACGCACGACGAAGGAGAGCTTCCTGAGGGGGGACGGCGGGTTGATGATAAAGGCTCAGCGCCTTCATATATTGCTTCTGGATATATTTACGCTCATAATGAATACAGAGGCCGCGCGATTGAATCGTATCTTGAAACTCGAAAAGGTTGGTGAAGAAACTGTTCACGAAACAGCCCCGCCTCTGCCGATACGGGCACCAGTCATCATCAAGAAAGATGCGTGATACAAAATCTCGAATTCGAGGAAGCTCATCGCACCGAGCAGTATATCTGGCCCGCGATGCATCAGCTACCAAAGAGAGCCGCGGGAACTCCACTGGAAGGCCGAGCGCGCACAAATTAGTACACACATCGTACGAGATAGCGTTGTTCGGGCCGGCGGTGAGGAGACGAACACAAGACTGATAAACTTTATCCAGAGCGGGAGTAAGACAGTGAAGCTGGAGAACAAAATACACTAAAGAGACACAGAACGTTTTGAATAGCATGATAGATTGAGCCAGCCCAAGACCGAGGTCACGGATTTCACGGGCACGCTTTTTCAATGTGACCGCCGTCTCCAGAAGGTGACACCGGAAATTGTTTGTGGGCTGCTGGGTCTTCGGCTTAAATGGTTCTATAGGGGTCGGTTTGTCTCAATGCACCAAGTAGGCGCTCTGCGCCACCGCTGGTGCGGCCACCTTCTTGGGGCCGCTTTGTGTTGTTTCTATGTACTTCCATGGTGGTGTCGCAGAAAGATGCCAGAGTCGGGGTTATGGGCCCCAAACCTCTCCTCCCGTCAGGCCCCCTGCCGACTTTGTCGCCCCCGCCCTTCCTCTCCCTTCTCCCTCTTTCCTCTTCCTCCACAATTACTCAATATGAATACTACTCTCCCTCTTCCCCTGATGGCGTCTTTTGCGTATTCGCCCCCCCCCCCCCCCCCCCGCGTACTGTTTTTTTACACACACGATTCCCCGGAGTTGGGTTTTCGCCTGCGTTTTTTTCAAAATGCTGCTCTCGCTGAGGCGCCGGCCTCATTTCTGCTCCCGAATCGTTCCGAATCGTGCTCCCGCTGCAGCGTGGGCCTCATTTTCGGATCGGTGTTTTGCCTCCGTCGTTCAGGATGGCGTTCTCGCCCCAGCGCGGGCCTCTTTCTCGCGCGCCCATCCGCCCGCCACCACCGCGCCGCACCACGCCCCGCCCCGCCGCACGCACACCCACCGCCACTTCCACCCACCAACGCACGCACGCACGCACGCGCACCACCACCGCGCACCGCCACCACCACCGCACTACCCCACCCACCACCACCACGCTACACCGCGTCACACCACATCACACGCGCGCACACACAGACACACACGCACGCACGCACGCACGCACGCACGCACGCACACGCACACGCACACACACACACACACGCACACACACACACACACACACCACCACCGCCACCACCACCGCCATCACGCACGTACGCACCTGGCCCACCACCAAACCACCAAGACGCCACACCACGTCACACCACAGCACACGCGCACACACGCACACACACACACACACATACACACCACCACCACAACAACCACAACCACGCACACACGCACGCACGCACGCGCACCACCACCCACTACGCACACGCGCGCGGAGCCACAGGTCCGCTACGACACGCGTCCGCGGATAGAGAAAATCAGCGCCATGGTAAGGGATGGGAGGGAGGGGTAGGATGTCAGATGTTGACGCGAGCGCACCTAACTTGCCCCTCTCCCCTCCCCTCCTCCCTCTTCCTCTCTCTCTCCCTCTCCCTCCCCTCCCCCCTCGCCCTTCCGTCTCCCCCGCTTTCCCTCCTGGGGTGCGTCACATTTCGGGCGGGGGGGTTGCTTTCCGCGCCCCTCCCTGCGTCTCCCCAGGCTGTGATCCGACAGCCCTCCGGACCAGGGGCCGCACGCGGCCAACCACCCGGGCGACGAGGACGAGAGCGAGGAGAGGCAGGGATGGGAGGGAGGAGAGGTGGGCGGAGGAGGAGGGGGCGGAGGATCGAGGAGGGGGAGGAGAGGTGGGCGGAGGAGGAGGAGGAGAGGGAGGAGGGGGAGAGGAGGAAGGAAGGAACGCAGGGCACGGTCCCTTCAAAAATGGTTCGGAAAATACCGTCGAAATACAAGACTTCTGAAGCGCCGCGGTGATGTCTTGTATCTGCGCTGGGCCCTTCTCCGTGGCGCGCGGAACGCGCCAGGGGCGGCGCGGGAGGCGCCGCCAGAGGGGGGCCCAGCGCAGATCCCAGACATCCACGCGGAGCCCTGACATTCTGTGTTTATGCCTTATGTTCCACTTTCACAATTCTTTCCGTACCCATTTCGATCGCAGAGATCAGAGCACGTTTGAGCACGTCTGTATTAGGTCAAGCATGTCCCCCTACAGGCGGATTTTGGACGGACAGCAAAAATATGGAACAAACATACCCCCCAATGGCCGAAAAAGTAAAAAAGTCGCCCCCTGAGTATTTTGTGACTACTTTGGTCCGACTTAACTTCTGTTTCGTGGCGGGCACCCTGCGGCGACGCCCGCGGGGCGCCTGTGGCGCCCTCGCCGCGCCGGGAGCCCAGCCGGGGTCCGCTCACACAATCGGCCCTCGAGCAGAGTCTTAGGTCGGGCCTGTCCCCCTACGGGCGGATTTTGGACGAAAAGTAAAAAACAGTCCAAACATACGCAAAACATGATCGAACGTAGTCCCAAAAATCGTCCCCGGACTATGTTTTGACCATCTTTGAGCACTCCTCCTGTAGAGGGACAGACCCGACTTGACACAAGACCCTTCCGAGGACACGAGGGTGCCCTTGATTTGGCAGGGTCGACCTATACTGATCATCAGCATCCACTGTCGGTCCTGGCCACAGCTCTCGAAGCGGATCTCCAGCCGTCGCGACGTGGCCTCCGGGAGGCCCCGCCAGGACAGCAAACAGGCGAGGGGAGGCCGCTGTTGTCTCGGCCGGCGCGCCCTTCGGCGACAGCGGCGTCGAGCCCGTGGCGCCCTCGCCGTCCCAGGAGCCCGGGCCCTGCAAGGAGGACGCCTACCATACATAGAATGATACACAGCGGCGTAAACATGGCACCAGAGAAGAACCCCAATCGGCGGATGGTTTGAAATTTGATGATTCGGATATTGGAATCGATCGTGAGATCAATCGTGGGATCGATAGCGAGGATAGTGAGGACGATAATCTGGTCAGTCTTGGGACCGAGAGTGGTGTCGATTCAGTGAGGTTGATGGTGAGATCGATCGTGAGATCGCTCGTTCGATCTACAGTGAGATCGATTGTGAGATCGTTAGAGAAATGGGTAATGAGATCGACAGTGAGACCGATCGATAAGGACTCGAGAACCCAAAAATCCCGGAACCCCGCCGCCCACCAAAATCGGCCCAGAACCAGCAACCGAGAGCCCAGGAACTCGGAACTGGGTACCTGGCGGCCTACCGAAGTCGGCCGCCAACTTTCGCCAAATCCTTCAAGATCCGCTAGGAACCCTTCAGTGCAAGCACTGCTTGGGGAATAAACTTTTAGCGCTCCGCGCGGATTTCTTGGATCCGCCGGGGGCGGCGCCGGAGGCGCTGCAGGGGGTGGCCCAGCGCGGATCCCACATGTCCGCGCGGAGCGCCAAAAGCTTATGCTTATAGCGTCACACCCACACCGATCCTGGCCAGACCCACCCTGGGCGTGCGCTCCCGGCGTGGGCAGGAGGGCGCACGGATCGGTGTGGGTGTAACGATGGCTGGCGCCCTCCGGCCTGCTGCGCGGCGGCGGCGGCCACCGCGATGCTGAGCGCGTCGAGGACGTGCCGGAGCCACGCCTCGCGGGTGTAGAGCCAGAGCACGATGAGCAGCACCTGGAAGGTGTCGCCTCGTCTGGCGCTCAGAGGAGAAGGGCAGGAACACAGGCTGGCGACGCCCACGGAGGGGTGGCGCGAGAAGGGCGGCCTTCTAAAGCGGCGGGAGGGCTTCTTGGACGGCGAGATCCTTCTTAGAAGGCCCCGGAGGCCTCTGAGAAGCCTTCTCACAACCTCCGACACCGACGTGCCTACATTGCAAGGCCACGACGCGCAACGCGACGGACTGCGAAGCCCGCTAATGCAACGAACTCGTTGCGTAGTGTAGCATCGCACAGCATGCCACCACCTATTAACGGGCGAAGAAAGGTATAAAATAAACTTTTTCGCTGTCGGGGGCGCCTGTCCCTGGGCGGCTCGAAAGTTTATACCCCTACGGTGCCACCGTAAGGGTATAAACTTTCCAGCCGCCCAGGGACAGGCGCCCCCGACAGCGAAAACGTTTATGTTATACCGTTCTTCGCCCGTTAAAGCTACGGTGTCATACTACACCAGCGCTGCGCAAGGCTGAGCCTGATGCCACGCATTGAAAAGGGTACGGCGCAGCGAGGCAACGCGTGGCAGAGCACACCCTAGCAATGCACTGCATACTGCGACACAGCGCTGTGAAGCAGCCACGTTATGGCACAACGCATCGCACGTGAGGCAATGCCACATGGAGCACGCAATGCGTCGCATCGCCACCCGACGATACTTCGGGAGGTACCTCTAATTGATCTTCTTGCTCCTGCCCCTCCTGCTGCGCCTCTCCCTCCATTTATCCGATTCCTGCTCCGCCTCCCCCTCCTCCTCCTCCTCCTCCTCTCTCCTCTCTCTCTCTCTCTCTCTCTCTCTCTCTCTCCTCTCTCCCTCTCTCCTCCTCCTCCTCCTCCTCCTCCTCCTCCTCCTCCTCCCTCCTCCCTCCCTCCTCCCTCCCTCCCTCCCTCCCTCCCTCCCTCCCTCCCTCCCTCCCTCCCTCCTCCTCCCTCCCTCCCCTCCTCCTCCTCCCCCTCCCTCTTCCCTCCTCCTCCTCCTCCTCCTCCTCCTCCTCCTCCCCTCCTCCTCCTCCCTCCTCCTCCCTCTTCCCTCCTCCTCCTCCTCCTCCCCCTCCTCCCTCCCTCTTCCCTCCTCCTCCTCCTCCTCCTCCTCCTCCTCCTCTCCCTCTTCCCTCCCCATCCCCCGCCCCTGCCTCTATCTCTGCTTCTCTCCTCCCTCCAAACTCATGCTGCCCGTCCTTCTCCCCCCCCATCACCCGCCCCCCTGCCCCATCCCTCCTTCCCCCCCCAAACCTCCGTCTCCGTCCTCCTGATATGCCTCCCCCCATCCCTCCATCCATCACCGAGCGCGTTCCACTACTCGCAAAGTGACTACTCGCAAACGCCCGAAAAAACACATGTCTGCTTCTACGTAATGTATCGTAGATCCCCCGCGGCAGATCCATGCCATTTGCGAGTAGCTACTTTGCGAGTAGTGGGACGCGCTCGTCCTAATCCACTGGGGCCCCCCTGCAGCACACGCAACATGCATCACCGACCCCGACCACTGCCGGACAGCACGGCTGCCACGTCTGCCGGCCGCTGCCCCCGCTCCTGGCACGCCTTGGCCGGCCGCGTTCCGGTGGGTGGGCCGAAAGTGTCCCACGCGTGTCTCGCCAAGACCTTGAAGTATTCAAGTACGTCGGACCAACATGTGTACCCGCCCTCCTCCAAATTCGAAGCTGACGGGTTCAGGCGGTAGGCCAAAGGCCAGGGACAGAATGTGGACACTTCCACTTGGGGCCTGGGGGGAGGGGTGCGAAGCAGGGGTACTTCGCAACTGTGGCTGTTTTCATGCTGCATCGCCTTCTCGCCGTTGGTGTGGACACTGTTTGTCCGGGCATCGTCACGGGGCGGACCTGGGCCAGGATCCTCCCCGAGGCCCTCGGGGGCGCTGCTGTGGGGGCGGCCATGGGCCAGGCGTGCCTGCGCGGACGAGGGGGCGCCGCGCTCTTCGCCCAGCACTCCTCGCATCGCGGGTGTCGAGCTGACCAGGGTCGCTGTCGGCACCTCTCCGGTTCTGCTTGGCCTCCGGTGGCCGCAAGACTTCGCGCGCCCGAGGCCCTCGTGAGAAGCAGCTGGGCGTGGCTGTTCTTGTCCGTCGGCATCGGCGCGCCCGCGGCTGGAGTGGCTGTGCCAAGGGTGACGGATGCCCGCTGAAGTGGAGGTGGTTGCGAGCCCTGCCGTAGCAGCCCACACCTCGGATACATCGCTGTCTGCGTGCGAGCAGCGAGCTGCTAGAGCTCGTCCTGTCAGCGTAGGCGCAGCCTGTGCGGCGGCTGACCCAACTCTCTCTCTCTCTCTCGCCGTGGTATATGCCAGCAGCGGGTCGCAAGACAAGGGCAACATATTCTCTTCTGCATTACGCCTTCTACAATGCCACCAGCAATCTGGGCATAGGTAGTCTAGAGAGCCTTTTCTTCCAACCACGTTCTTCCCCTTCGGGGAGGGGTTTACCCCTCCCCCTACCCCTTCCCCTGGAGGGACAGTTTCCCGGGTCGTTGGAGCGTCCAAGATGTCCCAGGATGGCGCTAGGAGGGCCTCAGAGAACCCAACATGACCTCCAAGATGGCCCACGATAGCATGAGATGGCTCCAGATGGCTCCCAAGATGCTCCAAGAGGCCCCAAGACCGCTCTAAGACGGCTCCGAATGGCCACGGAGCCTCCCCAGGAAGCCGCCAAAAGGCCAGAATCCCTCAGTCAAAGGCAGCAGCATGAAATGGGGTTTCCCCGCTGCAATGTCCCAGCGGAGAACCGCGGGGACTGCCCAGAGGCCGCGAGCAGGACATCCACCTGTACGCCCAAATCTTCCTACACGTTCTCCTCCTCCAACTCTTCCCCATCCTCCTCGTCCTCATCCTTCCCATTTTGCTGATGGTGTGCTGCCACCGCCTCCTGCGCCCCCCGCCTCCACTGCGTTTTCATCCTCCTCGGCCTCCTCCTCCTCCTCCTCCTCCTCCTCCTCCTCCTCCTCCTCCTCATGGTTCCTGGCCCTCCATCTTCCCATCGCGCCTTTGGTCGCCCTTCATCTTACCCGTTCCTGCACCTCCTCAAGCACCCCCACCCACGTATCCCCCTACCCATCGTCCTCCTCCTCATGGCCAGCCTGCCCGCCCTCCTCCTCCTCCTCCTTTTCCTTCCTTTCCTCCTCCTCGTCCTCCTGCTCCTCCTCGTCCTCGTCCCCCTGCTCCTGCACCACATCATCCTTCTCCTTCGCCTGGTCCTTTTCCTTTTCCTCCTCCTCCTCCTCCTCCTCCTCAGCCTCCTCCTCCTCCTCCTCCTCCTCCTCCTCCTCCTCCTCCTCCTCCTCATCATCATCATCATCATCATCATCATCATCATTATCATCATCATCATCATCATCATCATCATCATCATCATCATCATCATCATCATCAGCATCATCATCATCAGCAGCAGCATCAATATCATCGACATCATCCTCCTGCTTCTCCTTTTCGTCTTCATGGCCTCCCCGTCGTTCTCTTTTTTTGCCTCCTCCTCCTGGTCCTCCTCCTCCTCCTTCGCCTCCTCCTAATCCTCCTCGTCGTCCTCGTCCAACTCCATCTCCTCCTCCTCCCCCTCCCCTCCTCCTCCTGCTCCTCCTCCCCCTCCTGCTCTGCTCAACGTCCTCTTCGTCCTCCCCGTCCCTTTCGCGAAGCCCGAGAAAGCCGCAAGGAGGGCGCATCGGACGCGCTGTGGGGGCGCCGAGCACGCGCCGGCGACGGGCGGTTGCGATTACGCTTGCGGTTGCGCGGGCGGGTTGACATGTGTCGCCCGGTTGCGGTTGCGGTTGCGCGGGCGGGTTGAAATGTGTCGCATGGTTGCGGTTGCGGTTGCGCGGGCGGGCTGGTTGAAATGTGTCGCATGGTTGCGGTTGCGGTTGCGCACGCGGGCGGGTTGTAATGTGTCGCCTGGTTGCGGTTGCGGTTGCGCGCGCGGGCGGGTTGAAATGTGTCGCCTGGCTGCGGTTGCGGTTGCGCACGCGGGCGGGTTGAAATGTGTCGCCTGGCTGCGGTCGCGGTTGCGTGGGCGGATTGAAACTACGCGGTCGGGTTAAAATGTGTCGCCTGGTTGCGGTTGCGGTTGCGCGGGCGGGTTGAAATGTGTCGCCTGGTTGCGGTTGCGGTTGTGATTGCGCTGGCGGGTTTAAATGTGTCGCCTTTGCGGTTGTGGTTGCGTTTGCGCGGGCTGGTTGCATTGAACGGGAAGCAGGGAATCAACAGAACACCTGCACCGCCATCTTGCCCCCCCCTTCCCCAGGAGGGAATGGCAGGCGGGGCGGGGTGTACTGTTCGTGCCGCTTTTGTGCGACGTCGTCAGGGTCAGTCTTCGAGACTCCCTGGACCAGCCCCAGAATTAGGTTAGGTCGGGTATGTCGCCCTACAGGCGGAATTTGGAGGAAGAATGTAACATAATCGCAAAATCGGAGGTGAAGGGGGTGAGATCGAAGTGGAACGGAGAGCCCCCCTACCGGGAAATCGGTTTCGGTTTCGTGTTCGTGCGTGCAGTGCGTGCGGGCGAGGCGAAGCTGCGTGGGCGGGCGAGAAGAAAGCCTCCTCCGGCTGAGGCGCGGCCGGACCAACTGATTCCTTTCCGGGGGCCGGTGGCCCGCGGTGTCCCGCCGGTGTCCCGCCTCCTGCTGAGGCGCGGCCGGACCAAATGCTTCCTTTCCGGGGGCCGGTGGCCCGCGGTGTCCCGCCGGTGTCCCGCCGGTGTCCCGTCGGTGTCCCGTCGGTGTCCCGATGATGATGATGATGATGATGATGATGATGATGATGATGATGATGATGATGTTGATGAGGATGAGGATGATGATGATGATGTCGGTGATGTTGATGATGATAATGATGATGGTGATGGTGGTGATGATGGTGTCCCGATGGTGATGATGATGATGATGTTGATGATGGTGATGTTGACGATGTTGATGATGATGATGATGGTGATGGTACTGATGATGATGATGGTCCCGCTGATATTGATGTTGATGATGATG